GGATCAGGCTGTAAATCAGCCGTGTGGCTATCCCGGGATCAGGCTGTAAACCAGCCATGTGGCTATCCCAGGATCAGGCTGTAAATCAGCCGTGTACCCAGTGAGAAGGGATCCTCCCCAAGAGGAGCAGCCTCGCTCAGTGCTGAGAGCCCCGTGTGGTTCCATGGCAGGAACACCTTCCACCATCCCAGGGTGCTCCARRCCCTGYCCAGCCASCCTTGGGCACTGCCAGGCATTCTCTGGGCACGTATTTCCCTGTTTCTGTTGCCCACACTGGGGGATCAGCCCAGGGCTCCGTGTACTGAGTTTCCTGCTGGCTGCTCTCTTGGTTAACCTTCCATCCAAGGTTTGATTTTGGCCAAGGCATCAACCCAACCCCACCCAGCCCTGTGGGCGCAGCTCTGGGTGTTGGTGGTTCTGTCTGCTTTAGGCTGTGCTGGTTCGGGGACTTGCCCTGGTATTTTTCTTGTAAAAGCAGGCATTAATGTCACAGGAAGTTCTCGGATAGCCCGTGCTCCCAGGAATCCCCTCACCCTGAGTGTGCTGTTCCCTTTTTTTCCAGGTGGGGTTCATCGATTACATCGTCCACCCGCTCTGGGAGACGTGGGCTGACCTGGTGCAGCCCGACGCCCAGGACATCCTGGACACTCTGGAGGACAACAGGAACTGGTACCAGAGCATGATACCTCAGAGCCCRTCCCCTCCGCTGGAGGAGCGGGGCCAGGACTGCCAGGGCATGATGGAGAAGTTCCAGTTTGAACTGAYGCTGGAGGAGGAGGACTCGGACGGGCCGGAGAAGGACGGCGAGAGCCTCGGCTACTTCAGCAATCCCGAGGCGCTGTGCGTGGCCCACCCGGGGGAGGAGGAGCCCCAGGGGGAGGCCACCATCGAGATTGTGACAGAGGACACCTCTCCCGTGGACACATAATGGCCCAGCCCCGCGGCAGTGGCTTTCACACACTTCAGGAGCTTGCAAGCGGTCTCGGACAGCCTGCAGCCGGTCTGAGCCCCTGGCACGGGGGCGGCAGATCCTCCCAGCTACTTGAGATTGGAGCCGGGCTTCCGGTGGGGTAGGGAACGAGTGAATGATTGCTCAGGAAACGCACGGGTGATTGGCGCTGCGGTTTGGGCCTCGCCGGCCGAGAGCGTGGCGCTGCCCTTGGCTCGGCGCCGAGGCGGCGGGGACGCACCACCGAGAGATTTTGTACCGCTGCTTGTGGGATTGTACCGGTTAGACCGATAGAAACTACTGATCAATAACCCATATCCGACCTGTCCACCCGACCACCTGTCTGCAGACCTGTGTGCCTTCTTTGTAAACACTTTCATGTCTTTGCGAGAGTCTCTGGATTCGACACGCGGGGTGTGGTAGTTCAGAAGCRACACCGAGTGTTTCAGGGTTGACGGCTACTTTTTGGATTCTTCCTGTTACCAGAAGCAGTCTTCCTTTCTTTTCATGGGCAATACCTGTCACTTTATTGCAGTTCCTCACTTTGACAGACTGAACAGAAGGGGAAACCCTCTGCTTTGCATTGCTGCACCTTCAGTGTGTTCCTATTTCCCCCGGCGAGCCGCTGCAAGTCCCTCGGTGCCGTTCCCTCGCTAGGAGCGGCAGGGTTTGTTCCTCGCCGGGGTTCGGGTTTGTGGGGAGCAGGACAGAGGGCAGTTCATTTTTCCCTGGCACAGCTCAGTCCATCCCTGAGTAAGCGTGGCAAGGCAGCGTGTGAACGCCTTCCCCCTCGGCAGCTCCTCGGAATTTGCACGCTCGGATATTTGTGTTTCTCTGGCCTCTCGTCCACGTTCCCTTGTTTAGGTCCACCGTCCTCCTCCTCCTCCTCCTGCACTGCCTCGAGCTCTACCACCTCCATTACTGTTTATAACAGTGTATTTATTACCTACTGTACATACTGTAATGTTTTGTAAGTTATTAATTTATATGAATTAGCATCGCCTGTCGGCGGCGATGTTAATGGGGTAGAAAACTCGGAATAAGAGTTGCCTTTTTTTCTCGTAACCTTTTGTATCGCATAAAGTCCAAGAACCTGAACGTAGCTGAAGAGACAGACACAACCCAGGAAGGGCATTTGGGTGGCGGCCGCCCACGGGGAGGGGACACCACATCCCAGGGCAGCGATTTGGGAATTTGCAGAGAGGGGGAACCGAGCACAGAGCTCCCCGCGCCCGGGACGGCTTTTCAATGTCACCGTGTTCCAATTTCCGAACAACCCAATGTGAATTTCTATGGCAAAAAAAAACAAACAAAAAAAAAATGTGAACTGATGTAATAATTGTGCTGTGAAACTTCCTCCGACAAAGCTTGTCCGGCATCGTGAGCGGCGTCGATCTCGGTTTGTAAAATACGTTTCAAGCTTTTTGGTCCAACTCGTGACTGATTAGTTCATGACAATAGCACAGTTGTGCATGATCCATGGGTTCGTTTGTCTGTTGAACACTGCGTTGTTCCAGGTGGGTATTTTATTGTTCCCCAAGGTTTCACACGATGTATGTTATAGTATTCTATATTGTGTTCAGATGCATTCTTAAGAGATTTTTATATGAAGTGAATAAATGAAAGCATGACCCAGCCCGCGGCTCTTCAGGAGGCTTTTGTCAGCGAGGCAGCGTGAGYTGGGTCACCACAGCTCAGGGGACAGCGAAATGGGACCCCCAATCCCAGAACCTGCTATGGCCCAATCCCAGAAACCTCCCAC